CAAAAGTAGAAGGATTTAGTCTTTATACATTTCTATGTAGCTCGGTCCATCATGAGATGAGCTGAGTCCCGTGGATGAGGGACTGGGCTGGGCTGAAGATGGACTAGATGGCTTGCAGTGGTACTTGATGATACGGTGAAGGCACCAGATTGTATCGTGGTGGTGCCGAGTGATGTAGTGACTGGAGCATCAGATCATACTATAGTGGTGTCGGGTGGTACTATGGAGGAGTATGGTCATATCAAGGTGGCTCAGGATCCTCCCATTGGAGGGATGACTCAACCTGTGGTAGCGTGGGAGGGTCATGTAGCTCCCTCCTTTCCTTCCAGGCCTGTTGGGCAGCAATAAGTCTCTCCACCATCTCAAATAACCGGTCAACATCCTCTCTAAGCGAACTCTCCTGGGCTGCTCGGTGTAGTGGGGGTCTTCCTCTTCTCATCTATCTGTACCTGCATTTCACAATAAATGGTTGAGTGACAATTCATTATTTTTTGTGTTTTCTAAGGGTTTTGTGTAAGGAATGGATCCAAAGAACGTGGCTCTGATACCAATTGTAACGACCTTGGAATGTCCAAAGAAATAAATTATAACTTAAGTACGGAAGCGAAATAAATAGTTAAGGTTTACATTCCTTACACATAAACTTAAAGTCCCAAATAGCGCTACGGAATTAATCTTTTAAAGAAAATACAAAAAAATAAACATAAAATAAATAAAACTGGTATCCTACTTGCAACTATCTTGTGGATCGGGATCTGGATCCTAGTTCTCTTGATCTGAAATAGTTAAATAAGGAATGAGTTACACTAGGCCAGTAATAATATTACGATACTCACAGACACAGAAATGAAGGTTGGTAGAAAATCAAAACAACTAATGGAGCACTTAATTAAATAAATACATTTCTTAATAATAAAATAATTTATCATTCACTTACCGTAGTGAGATTTACAAAAGTAACCTATAGAGACAACAACATCATGATTTCATATGCAATTAGTAACAGGCACACATAATAAATCCATATTCAAATAAATCAAATAACAACTGTCCCCTTCCATCAGTCTGTTGGTATCCATGGGGGTTCATAGGGATGTCTCTGCTACACGTGAACCCTTTCCTTTAACATTCTCAATTAACGGACCGTCCCCATACTGCATCTGGTATGAGTGTTGAATTACTAAATCTCGATATCCCATCTGGTATGAGACAACGTTCACGGTAGGGTTCCCTATTATATCTGGTCCGTCCACCATCTCCCAAAATACCCAGTAAGGCTGTCGTTTCATCCATTCACTTAATCATACAATTTTCTATTTTTCTTTAGCCTCCATTTTCTCCAATTCAACCATAATCACATAAACAAATAAACATGCATCAGAGAATGCAATCATCTCTCAGTTTTTCAATTTAACAGTAATCACATAAGGCAGTAATACACGCATTCAAAACCATAAAATCGATAAAACATATATTATTATGCATTCAAACTGTAAAATAAATTGACAGACATCAACAAAGAATAATTTTCAGTTCTGTCTCCATTAGTAACCAGTAATTAATTGTAGATATTTTTTAAATTACACAAATATCGTATTATTATTTATTTAGACTTCAAATCCATAACAGAGAATAGGGTGATGGATTCTTACTCAATTTGATGCCTAAAAAGCTAATTGTTGACTACGCCTACTTGTAGTCCCCGGGTCCCCTGAATTTTTCTTCGAAAATCAAAACGCACTATAAATACCTATAAATATCCCAAAAAAATCCAAAATCAGTATCAGGGTCCAATTTTGGCCAATTTCAGAATTCTGGCATGGTGGCTCTGCCATGCTCCGGTGACAGCGCCCGCCATCTGCGGCATCTGTTTTCGGCCAATTTTACATCGATCCCTATGAGAAAATATGTTAAGGAGTCTCGATTGGCCGAAAAAATATAAAAAATTGAAACTCACCGGTTGCGAGGCTATCGAGTGCAGCAGCTCCCCCGGCTCGCGTTGCAATTGGGTGTTTTACTCTGGTCAACCTGTAGAGAAAGAAACGGTGATCATAATAGTGAAAAAATTACGCCGAATGGGAATCGGGAAGGGCCTCATCGGAGGCATTTTGTGAAATTCCCTGCAACGGCAGGTTTTGCCCGCGGTTTTTGGCCAATCGACCGGTCCTTTTGCTCCGATTTGGCCATAGAGATGTTTAAAATTGAATTCCGAGCAAAGAGAGAAGTTTTTACCTCTTTTGGCGGTCGAAAAATGCTCCGATGCGACGGTGGGTGGCGGTAGCTCTTCTTCCTAGCGGCTGGGTCTTCTTCTTCGGCGAGGCCGTCTGGCAGCTAAGGTTAGGGTTTGATGTGAAGAGAGTTATTTATATTCATCCTCATTTAATCTGAGTCGTCCAACGCGTTTAATCTGTACCGTCTGATTGTGATTAAATAGAGAGTGATTATGCGCCGTTCATCACGATCTAATCTGGATGATTCATCGCGATCTAATCTGTACTATCTGACGCGTTTAAATCTGGTCGTCCGATCGCGTTTGGAAAGGAAACGCATCCAGGTCGTCCGTGCACGCAGAAACGGATCTGGACTGTTCGATCGCAGACACGCAGATCGCCAGTGTGGCCTACTGTGTGGCACCATGTCAACGTATATTGCCACGCGGCGTGTCCGTTGTCACGCGACATGTTCTGGTTCATCGGGACTGTTGACCGGGCATCCTACGTAGCAAAACTTTTTTAACCTCAGATTTCTAATTTTTCTTTCAAAAATACCACCAGAACCTAAATTTTCACTTTCTTTTTTCAAAATTATTTTCAATTTCATCATCCATCACGTTTTCTTCATTTTTATACTAAATTAAAATTAAAAAAATTAAAAAATTATATTTATAATTAATTTAATTACGATTAAATTAATTTGGACATTACAATATCTGTGTGTGTGTGAAATTATGTATACACATTTAAATGCTTTTATTGCTTTCGAACCCCAAAAAAATTTGTTGCAAATGTGTTCTTTATAAATTTAAAAGAAAATGTAGATTCAATAATGCTGAAAAAACATGAAATTTGAAACATACATATGTGTGTGTGTGTGTGTGTTTTTATATATCTATAGGTGAGACGTGCGCGTCATGGGATTGTGAAGGCACTGGTGCATGCATAAGCAAAGGTCAAACCTTAGCCGAAACCAAAAGCAAGATGAACGAATTTTTTGGTGGGTTGCACCCATATGCCTCATTCAACCATGAACCACTGTTCTTAGTGGTTCGTCCTGTTCGTTTTGGATGCTTACTGTAATATATTATAATATCCAGCATAATAAATCTTTCTTTGTTTAGTTTTTGTGCTATATAATATTCGATTTAAATTAATATACACCGATACATACAATTACCTAATCACATACCATTTAACATATTCTCCTTTTGATTGCTTCGTATATACACGGATATATACAATATTACATATACATATACATATATATATATATATGTGTATGTGTGATCAACAAAGGTACTTATCAAAGGCATTTCCACTTTGTTTCTTTTTCACAGATGGTGAGAGTCACATCACTTAACAGTACCCTCTACCGAAACCTCTTGATGGAAACTTGGATAATCAGATTGCAAAAGAAAAAATTACATTTGACTCGGTACTCAAAACGTATTTACCAACTAGACCCATTACTCACATACACACACACATATATACATATATATATATATATATGTACGTGCAAGTAAAAATTTGGTGAGAACATATTAAAAACATGTATATATGAGAACGAGAATTGCCTCTTCAATGCAGTATGGGTCACAAATAAGTGCTCCACTTTACAGCAAAGTGCTTCACTATACTATTTTAAAATGGCCCTTATGGCTGTAAGGTGTTGAGGCCAATTTAAAGTGTGGCATTTGCATATATCTTCTTCACAAAACTAGGCTTTGCCTGCCCACTACCCCGCAGCTGAGCTCCACAATCTGCAGGAATCCTGTACCATTCCAGAGTCAAAAGAAGACTCATTTCATTCTCGTTTAGAAGAGCGATTTCGTGCCAATCCACTTTCCGGGTCAAGAAGGTTCAAGAACACATTGAGTGGGGAAGGGAAGACATGAAACCATCATCGTGCAAAATGAGAGAGCATGCCCGAGCAGATGGCGGAGAAAATATAATGAAAATTGACAAAAATTCCATTAATTTCATATATCACTCGAAATTTGACAATGAGAAAAGACCACAAATACATTGCCCCTCCCAAACAAGTGATACTTGAATCTCATTATCACCTATCAATATCATCAATGTCATCGTAGTTCTGTGACATTTTGAATATAGCAGCATTCTCTACAAGCCAGTGATAATAACCAAAAAGATGATTACATTTTCCCCAAGCAAACGAAAAATCTATACTCCGCAATGATATGAGCAAGA